TTATTGGTGTTTTTGATACACTGTTAAGTCTAGAATAAATAAATAAATAAATAAATGATAGTAATATGTGTATGTATGCGTGGTCATACATACAATTCTGAAGGTTTTGAGATATTAATTAATTTTGAATGTTTACATTTTTGTCATTATGTCCCTTAAATAAGAGAATATTAAATTATTTAGAAAATCAAAGTTGTAATATCTAGTCAGCCAGCGGACTGACCCCATTTTCAGTGCAATTGAATTTGAATTTTTCATGTTCTTCTAATGCTTATGTCTTTAATGACAAAAAAAAAAAAATGAAATGCAAGAAATAAAGGTGGGAGGAAATCCCCACAAAAGAGAGAAAAACTCTAAAATGCAAGATGTTTTTGGTTATTATAATTAAGTTTAGTTGTCATATTATTATGACATTAAATATTATGTTTAGTTGTTATATTATTATGACATTTAAATACCAAATTTTTGTTTTTATGGACTTTGAGAGTATTTTGTTTTGATAAACTCGTCATTTAAATGATCATTTTTAGTTCTTTTTCATACAGTTGTTATTTTATCTTTCTTTTTAAAACCGGATTCATCGTGCAATGTTTATTTTATATCTTTAATTGAATTTGAAAAACAGTTGTTAACATAATTCCTAAGTCTGTTATGTTAAGCAGTGTTACTGTTAGGATGACATTGATTGATACCCACTGCTTATAAAATCAATTTCCTTTGGATATCACATTGATTTTTTAAGTTTCTTTCAAACAATATCCTCATTGTCTGTAAGTCCTTTATTGTATACTAAGCATTGTACTAGATGGTGTTTATACATCTTAGATGTTAGGCATGATTGGCCATAATTGATTCCTCTAAGGTGCCAAACAATTCCCCAGTAGTAAAGTTACAACTCAGGGTCATTTTTGTCACACTTTAGAGCTCCTCTGAGCATCATTTTACTTTACCTTTGATATGGCCTACTGTTTGGAAGTAGATATAATTATATTATTTTCTGCCTATGTGTTCTATTTTGTGCAACGTTCATAAATTCTGTAATCATTGTTGCTCAAATGTCATCTGATGTGAGTTTTACATTTATATTTATGCTATGAGGCATCTTATCTTGCTACCTGATGTGTCTATAAGGTAAAAATCACTTCTTCGTGTAAAGTAATAAATTACTCTATAACTCTATAGTTGAGAGGCGGATTAAGAGATGTCCGAAAGTGGGGCCGATCGAGAAAACACTGCCCTATTGTGTCCGGGGAAATTTCCCCATGAAATTGTTGAATTTCTGTACCCCGAACATAACCTCTGAGGCGTTTTGGGCGATCAATTATTTCTTTTTCCATCTTTCTTTTTTTTTTTTTTTCTTTTTTACTTTCCAAAAGTGGGGGTGGGGGGAGAGCACGACTGGCCCGGCAACCCCCTCTAAATCCCCCCCTGTAGTTAGCATTTGAAATAGATGTAATGAATCTACAGAATACAACATAATTTTGATTTTTAATATGCATACAATATGCAGGTGCAGAATATTTGTACTTTTGTTATAGAATTTTATAGTATTGTATTTTCTTGTAGAAGTAATAAAAATAGGAAAATTCAAACTCTCAATTAATATCCCAGTTGCTGAGCAGTAACAATATATTCATGTTTCTTTTTCATTTTTAAATTCATACAAATATAGTATCTAAATTATTTGTATAGGAGTTATATAGGGGTATTGGAATTTCTTTCATCAACACACTGGTTTTTAAGCACTGTAAATGTCACCACATATTTCTTTTCTTTAAGCGCATTGAGACTTATAATGCACCATATCCAGTCCCAATACATTACATTAAATTAGCAAGCTTTGTGTACAAATGTAGGCTTGTTATGCTCATAGGGAACTGCATGCATACCAAGAGTATTAAAGGCTCAAACTTTAGCTTAAAAATATATCAGGCTATTCAAGAGATGCATTAAATCTATAAGCAGCCTTAAAATTATGGCCAATAATGAAAACAGAAATTGAAATTTACATGTGTTCTGCCTGAGTAATCAAAGCAGCTGACTGACTTTACATTTAAAAACCTGTCAGCTTATATTCTTAACTGGCATTCTCTTAATATTTTTGTCTGGAATCTGTATGAGCCTGTAAAAACATAAATTGAGATACTTCTAGTTTGCTGCGGAAACATGTTTGCCTTGTAAAAATATTGTAGTGGAATGTAGCTTGGTGGTTCTGTTAAAGCTGACTTCCAATTGTGTACTGTACATCCTGGGTTCAAATCCTGTCCAAGGAATTTTTACATTTGTTTTTACTCTTCATTTTCTAGGCCTTGTCCTGATTTTGTATACACGCAATGAAAAAAGTACTATCAAGAGATAGGAGGTGCCCTATTTACGAACGCCTTTTACGTTCTTTTGTAGGACGCCCTTTAGATCGTGGTAGTATTTTTTTTTTGAGGTAGACGTTCCAACGAAACCCCAAAAATCAGCCCTTTGGCAGTTTTATACTCTTTGCTTTAAGCATCATATTATTTCATGTGAAAATGGTGTGAAAAAAATAATAATTACAGTTTCAAAAGAGGTGGTGCTAGCTGGAGGGGGGAGGCCATGAATGCAAGGGCCCCTATCAAAGAAAGCTTTTGCCTTCTCTGACTGAGAGAATAACAATTCATCTTGAAGAGACATCCAAAAATGTCACCACTTCCAGGGGTTTCAAAATTCTAGTTTGATATTACAGTAAGTTTATTGCTCAAAAGGTGTCAAAATATTAAGTTGAATGATATTTTTTTTAAATTTTTAGACTGCTGTAGTTTTTGTGATCCAGTAGGGATAATAAGGGCTGAGTATGTATTGATTTGACCATTTGGCGCACCCAGAAAGTGTTCCCGTTCCATATATATGGATGTCCCCTTTAGTAGAGGCTGGCAGTAGTGTTAAAAGATATAGTAGAACCCCTCCGTTGGGACACCGCTATTAAAGGGATACTTTTTCAGGAATTAAATGACAGAAAGTATATCTTTTAAAACTACGGCCAACCCCTATTAAGGGACACCCCTATTCAGGCGACATCCCTATTACTGGGACACTTTTTGTTCCCCTTAATAGGGGTTCTACTATACTTCCCTCGTTTCACTGAAAAGTGTCCCCTTATTTGGGATGTTTTTTGTTCCCCTTAATACGGATTCCATTATATTTCCCTCGTTTCACTAAAAAGTGTCCCTTGGTGTGTCCCCTGAATAGGGGTGTCCCAAAGTAGGGGTTCTACTCTATTACATTGACCATATATATTTTGTATCTTGGATGACATAACTAGAGGTCTGGGAAGCTTTGACAAAAAAGTCTGTGTCCTGAGTAAAGGGTTGCCGACCGTAGAGCTAAAGTTTTTTATTTATTTTATCAGACTGATTTAAAAAATGTGCTGTTTTTGTTATGAAATGAACATATTGCATGCAACTAGGATATGGTTTTGGTTTTGTCACTGAATAATCTTGGTTGCTGCATTATAAAATGGTTGACTTCCTATGTCAATCAATCACTTGACATTATCAGTTGATCTTATCTTGTGCTCAATATTTACTAAGCATCAAATCAAATTACCAGGTATTGGTGTGAAGATTTCAATTGAGTAAGGATCAGGTTGGACAATTTGCTTTAGAACTATATCTATTGTTTCAACAAGTATTGTATAGGTACAGTATTCTACTGGTATGTTTGCATAAGTTTTTAGCCTAAGGTCCAAAGAAATTTTATTGGCGATCACTGCACTGGGGTTTTTTGTGTCTTACATAGCAATTGCTTTTGAAATGCTCGAAAATTTCAGGCTCAAAATGTTCATATTTTGCACACACTTCTCAAAGATAAAAAATTATTATTGTACTGTACAGTAGTATATTACTACAGTATTATAGAGGTATAGCATAGTCACACCTACTGCACATAAGGTAAAAATAAGACCAAAAGAATATTGTCTAAAACCTCATTTGACATTTTACACAGCCTAAATTTGTTCCTATTTTGTTCTTATTTTTTAAGCAATTCCAGCCTTGGTGTTCTAAATGTGTTTTTATAAAAAATGTGTATGCCATCAAGCCTTTATGAGGGGCTTATGTCATATAATTTGCTATTCATCAATACAATTCCTTTATATGTTATGAGGTCTTTTCTAAAGCTCATTTTGTATGTGTTGCAGCACCTCAAATATTGAATTCTGTTTTACATAACAGAGGTTTTCTAATCAGTTGGTAATTTTAAGAGAAAACAAAAAACCTTGCTTTTTTGAGAATTTATATGGCTCTATATACTGTAAATTTTAACAATTAATTGATTGATTATTGTTGAAATATATTCTAAAAACTAAAATAACTCTGTAGTATTCATATCATTGTCAATGTCTACAATTTCTAGTTGCAGCACCACATATGACATGTGAATGAAATCATATAAAAATGGCATTTAAGTATTAGTTTAAAAACAGGCAACTAAACAAGTTTGAGCTTGAAATGAATGTTTTCATACTGTTGTTATTAAATTAAATTGTTATTAAGTTAAATTTGTATTCATTGTTTGTCTTCACTTGGTAAGATAGCAGAGATGTGGAGCAAGGTGAACCTAAATTTTATAGTATTTTGTCAAGTAAATTTAATTAAATTCCTGTCAGATTTTATTACCATGAATATAGACGATTATAGAGAGCTACGATGCAAGCACACAATAAGAAAAAAATATATGCAATATCTTAATACTTGACACAAACAACACGGAATCTTCATACACAGGTATCTGATAATGTATTCATGGCACATGTACAAAATGGTACCATCTGTTTTTCCAGCTTCATTACTACCATTCTAATAATAATATATAGATGAAGATGTCATCCTTAATGTGTTTCATATTATTTACAAAATTACTATTGCTTTTATTTAAGTGTGAATCGTCTTGGACAACTCACCTAGATCAACCAACAGTTGATCCCAAAAGAGTAGGCTAAAGCTGTTTTTTTTGGTTTTTTTTTCTTGCAGATGAAATCCTTTTGTCTAAGGAAGAGTGCCCTCTGGAAATTGTAGTCAATGCTCCGCATAACATACGATTTCTTATGAAAATGGATAATGTTAAGGAAAGCTCACCGCCAACATATTCATTTGATACCGATGTGGAGACATCACCACATTCCCATCATAAACATTTGTCGAAGTTTTTCGGTGTCAGTCATGATGAGTTAAATACTGCATTATCACCAAGTCTTCCCTCAAACTATTCTAAATGGAAAGCAGTCCCAGGGTGGTTTAAGAAGCACCAGGGTGATGAGTTAAGTCTGAGCAGCAGTAGTAGTAGTGGGAGTGGTCATCAAGGTAAAGGAATTGATGAATATAGTAATGATGGTGTGAAGGGTTTGATGCTTAACCCACAAACTCCGAAATTCAGAAGAAAATCGGAAACAATCGCAGAACCGCTGAAAATGCGAATAAAATCAAAGAAAGAAAAAAACAAAGCGAAACAACGACCAAAGTCTATAACCGAAGCCTTCGAAAGACGGTTTACACGCAGGAAGAAAGGTGCACCAGAGACAAGTGTTGAGATAGAACTGTCATTTGATGAGTGCACTCCTGGGATTATCAAAGTTTTTGGGGAAGAGATCTCAACTGGTGCTACTTACAAGAGTGTCTTGGCATCGGAAGAATCAACAGCAGAAGGAATCATAAAAGAAGTTCTTGATCGATATTCACTGCCGAAAGATGCCTCTGAAGAATATGTGTTATGTGAAGTTGTTGGGAGATTGAACACTCAAAGGGCAGTTGGTAAGGGACAGAAAAAGGTTGTCTTTGATGAGCGAGATTGGGAAATGGGGTGTTTGAGAGTTGTTGAAAATAACGAAAAGCCTCTTTTACTGCAAGGTTTTTGGAAACCCTGTGAAGGATGTGCAAGACGTTTTGAAATCCGTCGCCGTTCAAGGATCATTGCAACAAGTCAAGACAATGTTACCTCTGGCTTGAATGCAAATGCCAAACGATTCCAAATGCACAGGACTAATATGCCATTACAGTCCAGTTTTGACTCTGATGGAAGTGGGAATTTTGGTGTTAAAGTAGAAGGTAGCAGTAAAGGAAAAGACAACCATGAACAAGAAGAAACTGATTGTAGTGATGAACATACTGACACCTATCATCTACCTGTGCCACAAGAATTTCCATATTTTATAAATATCAAAGGTTCAGGTGATAATAAAGATTTATTATGCTACCCAATCAATTTACCTTTAACACTTATTGGAAATGGAGACCCTGCTGAGAATAGTCAAGATATTAACTTAGATCATCATGGTAAAATAATCCTTACAGCTCCAGATATTTGTCCAAACCATTGCAAAGTGATACGTTCTGTAAGGAATTTGTCGTTCGAATTGGAACATAACTTTGAAGACACACTCATTGATGTTTTTCTTGAGCCATTTGCCTCTGCTATTTTGCAGGTGAATGGAAATATAATTGAAGGAAAAACGCAACTAAATAGCGGAGATCTGATTGGAATTGGTGTTGATTATCTTTTCATTTTTAAGAATCCTACCGAAGAAAATGCTAACCAGATGACTTGGCTGGATGAGTCGCTTAATATGAGCAAATTACAATCATCAATGAATGAAGCTTGTGTACGACTCGTACACCCGAAATTGGAACCTTTAGCAGATGAATATGATGCTGACATCGCAAGAATCAAGATTATCTATCCAAGAGATGCTGAAGACAACCTGTTGCAACAGGTCTTGCCCATGGCATGTGATGGAGAGTTTACCCTGATTCCTGCGTTTGTATTTAGTATGTGTATTGAATACACAGCGTACCATCATGACCAAGACGACACCAAGGCACTCTTGTGTAAGATTGCAAACTTAATACAAAATGAAGCATGGGTAAGTAATATTTTTATGTATAAATTATGATAGTGATGATGTAACACTGCATGATGATGTTGCTGTCTCTTATACACATCTAGATGTGTATAAGAGACAGCTCTTCCACTACACATTGAAGACAAGAAAAGGATCAATTTCAGACAGACTAGAGTATATATAGGCCTACATTAAAAATAACGATATTTTCTCTTAGCCTCATCAGAAAACCTCTACAATACTAGTTGTTATTATAGCATCAGGTATCATTTTGACCCTGTAATCGTAATATATAAAACACTCATCCAACCCACTGGGGCTTTGGCCTGGGACTCCACCAGTGCCGTTAGGTGGGCCTCTCCATCCCACACTCGAACTCCCCCCCTCCCTCCTTGGAAGAGCCTGTCTGTGTGCCTGGTGATGATGATTCACGTTGTCTGTATGACAATATTGATGTGAGTGATGATGGTTAGGCCCAAAATATAAATATATCTTCATCCAAATATTGGTATAAAATTAAATTGTTGAATAAAGCATAGTTATTTCATTATATAAACTCATAATTATATCACTTCCACAGTTTTTTTTAACCCAGTAGATAAGCAGAGAAAAAAAAAATTATTCTAATTGTTGCTGAAAAGATGAAATCCTTTCATCTGGTGAATAAAAAATATTAATCATACTGCTATAAAATTACCACCTCTCCTTTTGCTTGAACAATTAATTACACCAATTACAATTAGTTAGCAACCTGCAGAAGATATAGAGCAAACTGGTTCATTATCCTAGAAATCCAATCTAGAAGGAAATCCTAAACATGAGGTTACTAATTAAAACACTTTACTTTAATATTTTTTTGATGGTGTTGACCACAAAAGCCATAAATTTATTAAAAGTATTAGTAGGGTTTTTTTTTTTTACAGTATATTTGAATTAATCAATTGAATAATTAATTTATTTTCGAAATGTTGTTTTTGTAATAATAAGAAATATTATTTGCTTTAAGGAAGTAAAAAATAAATTAGCAATCTGTAGTAAATTGAACGAAGACTTCATCATATCTAAACAACCGTTTGATCACATACGGTAGTGTTTATGGTGCCTTGGACCGTAAGGGATTAAATGTAACTTTCACTTTCAGGTGTTAAACCCTGGTTAAAGCAAGGTTCTGCTAAGGTGGTTAAGCTCAATTCATAAACTTTATTTTCATATTATATAAGCAATACAATGAAATTATTTATAATTTGGAAAAAGGCTATAACTGGAAGTATAGCTTTGAAATGTAGTGATTTACAAATGTTAATACACTGTACCAGTGTCTTTGTTGGTGCAGGGAGTTGTCTATAACAACAACTATAATACCCCCCTGGTTGGTGGCTAAATCCAACAAACATTGAACAATGAATTCAGCATTTGAATTGTTCTTTGCATATTAAGCTTTCGATTGAAAATCAGAATAGAAAAATATTAATAGACAAATACATATTCTTATTTGCAAGACCTTTAAATTGGCTTGTGAATAGTTTTACTAATTTTGTAGGAAACCCTTCTGTAAATAAAGTCTTTACCATATTTATTCTAATAAATGCCTCAGGGCATTTGTAGTTGAGAAGGGTTTTTGAGGGGGAGTTTATTCGACTAAATATGGTGTTTCAGTTTTAGGTAAAGTACAGTACATTCTCTAATCACACAATGTAAAGTTGACACCACACTATCAAATTTTATTTGTGTATATGGCCATAATAATGTCATATTACAGCCATGTTATATGGGCAAATCACATTACTTGTCACATGAGATTAGTGTGGAAAGAGCTTAAATATATGCTTAAAATGCCAGAGTCTCTTGCGAGGTACAGGAGTCTTGTGGAAATTTGCATGGTTTTTCTCACTTCTACAAGTATCTCCCAGATGCTCACCCACTTTCAAAATTAATGATGTTTGCATAGACTGGTACAGTGTTTTAACATTTGTAAAACACTACGTTTCAAAGCTACCTGTATACTTCCAGTTATAGCCTTTTTCACAATTATAAATAATTTCATTGTATTGCTTATATAATATGAAAATAAAGTTTATGAATTCAGCTTAGCAGAACCTTGCTTTAACCAGGGTTTAACACTTGAAGGTGAAAGTTACATTTAATCCTTTACTGCCCAGGTCAGCGCGATTAACCGCTGAATTTAACGGGATACGGTTGGCGTTTTTCGCTCTAACAGGCCCTAAATTGTAACTGACAAGATCATTAGAACATCAATATTAAATGAAATGATAACAGACTTGGAAATGTCAACATTGTTTAGATTCTGAACTTCCTTTAAACAACAAAGACTATCCCCAAAGGGTCTAATAAGTACATAATGACCTGCGTACACCAGTTTACTCAGCTGATGTGTTGACCATCTATGTGCTGTATACCATTGATTGAAACCTAATTTCTGGTTTTTATTAGGCTGTAAATGTGTATGCCCCAGGGTAAATTGGGTCACTCGTAAAGATTGAATCAAGGCCTATAAGAAGTCTTTATTCATGTGAAAATGGTTGATTAATTTAGCTGCTTACTTGGATGTTGCTTCATAATATCTGGCTGTAGCACATCTTTGATAAATAACTTTTGGTGCATTGAACTTTAAAAGTATTAAGGGGCTTTCGTTTGAGAGCCAATTTTGCTTAACCCTTATTTAATTTTCAATGACACGCGGATTAAATTTATCTTAAAACTGTTATTCTGTATGTTGATTTTATTTTGAAATAAAACATTGAACTTTAAAAGTATTATAAAGAGCTTTCGATTGAGAACGTAGAACTAATTAAGTCATCTGTTCTCGCATACGTTCTATGTTCTACTTTAAATCAATTTCAATGATGACGCGTACACTGACGCATACAGTACATTCTCGTTCTGGCCTGAACATAGATTCGGCCGAAAATCGTTCTAGATATCAGGAGAGAACGTAATGCACATTGTTCAGAAATGCCCAATTAAATTAACATGACATCATTATGTTCTAACGATGAGAAACAAAATTAAACTATGCACTATTTTATGGCTTCTTTATTCATCAATGGATTAACTTTGCATCAAATCAAATACAGAATCATAGATTGCTATAAACCGGTCTCTTTACATCATTGATTAACATTTACACTAATTATGGTGCTGCTTATACTGACGATTATTATGTTTAAGTTACCGACCGGAAATCAGCTTGATGGTATCCAAATGACATTATAAAAATCAATGTAAAATGAAAATGAATAGATCACAGTTCATTGCATTGAATATATTTAGCATCATCAATTTGTTCTTCAAACTATGTATTTTTCCCCCAAATGCTTGCATTGTTTTCTTAGTCATAATATACAATTCATATTTAATTGGCTTTTGTAATACTTGTGTTTTATTGTTATATTATTATAATTATCATGTTTTTGTTGATATTGCTATTAGGGTTGTTATTACTATTGTTATTGTTATTTTCAAAAATTGTTGATGGTACCTTACATTCCAAAGTTAAAGGTGCATTTACAGTATATTAATTTCTCACAACGTATCTACAAACCAGATGAATATTTTCAACTATGTATTTTAATAAAATTGATTAATTTTTTTTAATGATATTCAACATAATCTAATGTAATATTAAATTCTTTTGTGCAGGTGAAAACAAAGACATTATCAAGTTCTCAACCTGCAAAGTGAGTAACATTTTTTTTAAATTTATTTAAGTTTCGTAGAAAGAGTTTAACATTTATGTGATTAGGTGGTAAGTTAAGGTGGTTAGAAGGTAACTGAAATAAACAAAGTCATGGACGTAAGTGTTTAAACAAAGTCAATGCTACTCTTTTACTACACTTCTTTTTTTTTTCATAAGAACCAGTAAAATTTTGCCCAGACTCAGTGTTCTTAATTTTTGGCCGATTTCAGGCTCAAAATTTTCTTAATTTGTTCTTATTTTACACACTTTTCAAACATAGAACATTATAATTGGCCCTGAAAAAAGTGCCCTGGAAAATGGCCCCGAAAAAAGGCCCAGTAGAAATGGCCCCAAATGACAGTACACCTGATTATAGGGGTTATTACATAGTCACACATACATTACTGCACATAAGGTACAGATATAATTTTTTATTTTAAAAAATAATAAAAATTTCATTTGATAAGTGTATGTTTGCATCCACTAGGCAAAAGGAAAAAATTGCACTCAAGTATAAAGATGTACTGTCCCCTGAAAATGACAACCAAAAAAAATCATTAAAAAATAATTGTTTAATTTAACTTTCTAATTTTTGCAGTAACATAGAGATTATTTACTGGAGCATAGAAATGATTAAATTTTTAAAATGTGATTTTTGTACTGAATAATGATAAAAATAAAATTAATAATAATAATAATAATAATAATAATAAACAATTGAATATTTCACAATCATGTGACATGCATAAATATGGTCACGATGACATCAAATCATGACCATATATAGGCACATCATGACTATATATGGGCATATAACAGTTTTTTGTCTATGGAAAATCTTATAATAATAATAATAATAATAATAATAATAATAATGGACATTTATAAGGTGCCGGTAGCCTGAACAAAATTTATTTAATCCTCTTAAACGAGCAGTTAACATTTTAATTTAATGCGTTTTCCTAATCTTTCAATTGTTTTACTTTTTCAGACCAGCCAGTGCCCAAGAGGCGTTAACAGCACTCATTCCTAACCTCCGGCCAATCATCATCTGGATGTCAAATTCTCTTGAACTTTTGAACCATCTACAACAGCACATCCACGAGTACATTGTTATTAACGAGGAATTTTCTCCTCCCGTGTCGGATTCCACCGCAACTGTGGATGAAGAAGTGCTCTCTGTTTTTGAGGAGGTTGTGATGTACACGTTCCAACAAAGTGTTTATTACTTGACCAAGGTGAGGAGCAACACATGCCAGAAGTTATATTTCCCCAGTCCCATAACCCTGGCTAGTAAAAGTGGAATTTAATGGCCATTGATTGTTAGATCCCTACAATAAAGATGAATGGCGCATCTTGAGGATATTTCACGCTTTCACCATTAAAGGCTTTTTCTATGAATGGAATGACCTGTACGAAACACAAGCTCCTGTAGACCAAACCCAGTACCGTTACGATTTTAATCGTGCGGGAAATATACTCAAGACACTTCATAGCTCTTTTGATAATAGTTACGGTAGGGATGATTGTATGGATGATTGTATATACACATTTTATAAGAACACTGAGGCTGAAATTGCTTGAAAATTAAGAACAAAATAAGAACAAATTGAGGCTGAGGTAAAATTTCAAATGAAGTTTTTATTTTTAAAAACAAAAAAATTATGTTTCTACATTATGTGCAGTAGGTGTGACTATGCAATACCCTCTATAATACAGTAGGTGAACCTATCTGACATTTGGCGCCATTTTTTGTGTGGTCAATTTCACCTACATTCCAGTACAGTGCATACTGCCGTACAATTAAATAATTTTTTGTTTGAAAGGTGTGTAAACTAAGAACAAAAAAAAAACATTTTGAGCCTGAAGTCGGCAAAAAAATAACACTGAGCCTGGGCAAAATTTTACTGGTTCTTATTTTAAAAAAAAGTGTATGAAGTATTGTACATTGGAACATTTAGTTGAAAGTTCTATTCAACTGTAGTCATGTTTGAATAGCAGTTTATACCTTGTTGTAGTCAAGCACTTAGAAGGAGCATAGACCTAGAGTACATTCCAGAAGAAGCCAATGTGTTTTTAGCAGTGGGAGAGTGTGTCTTCTTTAGGGAGGGGATGTTTTCTGCAGGGGAGTGTTATATGATCACCTTCCTACCATGGTTTTTTTCGTCAGCATTATGACATACATATGCTGTGACATCATTCTATATACATTATGTTATGACATCATCATAAATATAATGTTCTGATATCATCATATACTTGCTAAATTTTCTCAGGTTTTTATTTGTGGTATATATATATATATAGCACTTTTCCTTTAGATTAAAAAGCGCTTTGTTTTCCCTGGTCATTGGGCCCACATGCTTAAAGTGTTACTGCAATATTGGCGCAGTAGCAAGCAACACTGTCAGGTCGGGAAATCAAACCCTTTCCGCTGCGCCAAACCGCTTCCACAATGCAAGTGAATGATTCCACTATTGTACCTCCATTTTGGGATAAGGAGTTGTATACTTATCTAAATAACAAGACCAGTGTATAGTAGTTGTACAGTAGCTAGCTTAGTAGAACAGTCAATATGTTTACTATACAAGTAGTTCTTGTATATCCTAGGTGACACACGTAACTCTGTCCTTGAGTTTTGATGGTGTATGGAGCTGTCAGTCAATAGCCTATTGACTATTATACTTGCCAGCTGTCATTTCTTCTTGATTGTTTTCTGCACGCCCCTAACTATATCTGAATCAAATACATTTTTTTGATAATCAAGGTAATGGCACTTGGTTGATCCTTTTCAGATTGTTTGTTAATATACAACATGGACCAGAAAACCAAAATCAATTAATTTAATGTACAGTGTTTTGATTGGTATTCACAAGTATGGAGTGTTTTCTGACTGCCTAAACAATGATGTCTAAATATTATCATTCTTAAATAATATAACAAATTTAAATAATAATGATAATGATGAGGATGAATATAATGATAGTAATGTAGTGGGTTTGGTGAGATTTTTGTGTTTTTTACATGCTTGACAAATGAGAAAAAATGCTGCAAAATAAAAATCAAATAGCTAACTCAAAGCAACAAAATCATCACAATCATTGAATTATATTCTTTAAATTTAGTTCACACAACAAAACTAAAATAAATAAATAAAAATAGGTTAATGCACACTTTTCTATGCAGAACCATTTTTGTTGGTAATGTATAATTTATTTTTAATATTAACACTACAATAAAATCGTTTAAATCTGCTGTTTACTGACACATTAGCATTGATGTTAACGTGATGACTTAGATGGCTGTTGTATATGGGGGGTAGCTCATATCCGTAATCTTGGTTTAAATGGTGTTCTCATTTTAATTTCTATAGCTTCTTTTATTTTCCTATTTTAAATGATTTAGTCTCTTTAGTTAGTGCTTTGATTTTATTCCAATTAAAATTATGTCCATTTTCAATGTTCTGCTACCGCTGAAAGTATTTGTATGTGTTGATTTAAATGTTACTTGACACGTAACTGTTATAGTTACTATTCCTTATGAAATAGTTTACTTCGATGATGATCAGTAGGTAACTAGTATTCATCCTTAATGTGTGAAATGTCAGCAACATTACATCAAACTGTGTTTCTTAGTTGTGGTCTGGCATTCCTCAGTCCTCAATAACATCAGATCATAAAATCTTTATGCTCTTTTACGAAGAACTCCTAATCTTAATACGTCTGACCTTTTCATGAGCATGCTCATGTCTTGTAGTCAGTTTGAAGTTTATTGCAAGCAACAGCTTTTAAAGACACCAAACCTTTTTCCAAACTATCTTTAAATGCCAGGATAAATTCTGATATATCCTACATTCGTTGCATATCCTACATTTGTTGCACAAATAAAATATTCAATAGGCCTGTGTTTATATGAATCTGTTAAATATTTTTATCTTAATTATAAATCTATTTTCATTATATTTTTTTTTCCAAATGTAGGCCAAAGTTTATTTGAGTTACTATGGTATTGGGAACATAGGCTTCATAGTATTTTGACCAGTGTTGTGGTACATAGTAGAGTTAAAGACATGTTTTACCAAAATTTCAGTGTTCATTCTATACATTCCCAATTCTTCATATTTTTGAACTGATGGATTTTCCATTGTTTTAGATATGTATCTAATTTAATTGAAATTGCCATCTACAAGTAAGAAAAGCGGGAAAGACAATGTCATGGCTTTGCAACCATAAGGAAAAGGTGCTATATAATTGACCATTATTGTCGGGGTTTCAATCCTTCGCTGAGCATTTCACTTGTGTCCTTGAGCAAGACACTTTATCTACATTGCTTGCAGTCTACCTAGCTGTATCAATGGGTACCAGTAAATTGCTGGGATTAACCTGTGATGGACGTTCATCCCACCCAGGGGGAGCATCGCACTCTCATCCGCTTCACACTACAGAAACTGGGGATAGGCTCCAGCCCTATCAGCCCTTCCCCTAGTGGCTCGACAAGGATTTACTTTTTTTTGTTATTATAGTGTTACATGTGATAAAAAAAAATTAAATAAATAAATATATTCACATCTTTCAGACTTTGTACATCAGCCTACCAGCAATTCTTGATTCGAGTCCATTTGTCAACGACAATGATGACGATGATGATAGTCAGCAGGAAGAGAAAGTCCTCGGTGTCAGCGCTTTCCTTAATGTCTTCCAGGCGACTTTTGACCTCTTGAAGAGCTTGAATATACATCGTCAAATCCTGAAGCAGTTGTTTGCATATTTACTGTTTTTTACTAATGCGTCACTTTTCAACATGTTAATGGAAAGAGGTAAGATTACTATTATTAGTAAGCTTTTGATTGCTCGACAACGGTATGACGTAGTAACGTCACTAAAAGTCATCTGCGCATGCGAGAACGTTAAGCTCACCTCGTCGAGTAGATTCTGTAACGCAATTTTGCCAAATCTACGTATGCAGAGAACATGGACGCCAGGCGGTCATGCATGAGTGATTCTGTTCTAGCGTCGCGTCGTAGCACAAATTGAAAGCTCACTATTAGTAATGAGCAATCCCACTTCGAAGAAACAGCTTAAAGATTTTCACACTTTGACCTCCAAAAAATCTTTCTTCAAGTATCCATCAACATTTTTTATCTAATTCTTATTTATCAAGGACCTAGCCGTAAATTCTTCAAGTGGTCTAAAGGGGTGCAGCTTCGTGGCAACTTGGACTTCATTGAAAGTTGGATACAAGATCAGGGTTTGGAGGAAATTTCTCATTTTCTAGGCCTAATTTCAACGGCAGCTGATCTACTGGCTACTCCTAAAATTCAGTTGATGCAGGTAGGTTGCTTGATTTTGCCTCCATTTTTATCTTAAGTAGAATTCTTCTTCATGTGTGCTTCCTCGCCAGGGGTCTCAAGTCTCCCATAATTTGCAGGAGTCTGAAATTGGGATGGCTTCCCGTACTCCCCAGAATTCATAATATTTGCAGGTTTTGGCTGCTTTATTGATCAATTGTCTCACAAAAGTCCCAATGGGTATCACTATATGCAGCAAAATGGCTTTGATTTAAGAAAGCTCATTTACCCAGATCTCCAGATCTAGCTCCCAGAAGTGACATCTTGCAGCTTGGAACCCCTGACTTACACATGTTTAGTTTGGCCGTACATCCAAACTGATATGTGTCAGTGTAAATGAGACATGCACGTAGGCCAGATGTTTGTGTCAAAATCGCAGGTCAAGGTTGAATGGGACTTTGTCTTCTTGCAGGCGACTTGGAGTTCATTGCGATGTGACTTCCCTCTCTTAAATGATGCCCAGTTGCAGATGATCCTCAGTGAATACCAACTTGGATCAGGTAAGCCCAGACCCAGAGGATGGTTCCCGCCACCAGAAGATGTTGAAAAAGCACTCAAAGCAGGTGGGTTATATATACTGAATTAAGTAAGATTAGAAATGTCAGAAAGATTAATACATCTATCAAAATTTGTTATAAGTGATGGTATACAATGTTGTTTTATATTCATTGTAGCATGACAGGATACATGCCATACTCACCTATGGGATATTTCAAATTTTTTTGTGAATTAGGCAAGAATTTTTTTATACCATTCTTTGCAAACTTATTGTTTTAAAGATTGTCAGAGGAAGGTGAAAAAAAAAATGAAATTTGTTTTCTCATTTAGCAAATGATTTTGCCTAAACCATCTAGGGGAAGGAGAATTGAAAATATCAGTTTATTAATGAACAGTGTAGTAACGAGTTTGATAAATGCTTTAGATTTATATAATTAAGAAAGAAATATATATGTATATATCATATTTTTGTAGATTCCAGGGAGTGGAGGACAAAATAAAAATAGATATATATTATTTAATTTTTTTCTGAAATTTCCATTTTTTTCGTGGCGGCAGGTGAGATAATTGGCCAAAAAACAAAATTTTATCTTTATTTAAAATCACCATCATTGGCGGTCGGCTTTGTTAAACAAGGTTTAACAAAGTCTCATCTTACATTATTTTTATGTATTGAATATTTTTATCACAGGATAAGGATATAATTCTTAATATGTATAATCTGTATGTATAAAGACAATAAATGTCTTCATTTATGTTTTGCCTCGAATTACCTTGAACAAAATTAGTAATGAGTCATTGAATACGATTTCATTCCACGAGTTAATACAGTATCAGTGCTGGCCTATCCATCTTCATTTAATGATTGACCTAGTAATACATAATAGAACCAGATGGGTGATATGATTAAAAAAAATAACTAGAATAATCATTAGTCTGTATTTAGTCTGGGCAGGTGTTAATGATGTCAGGTGGACTTAAGCAGTAACATGAATTTATCTGAAAACAATTCATAGGCTCCGCTGTATTCATTCTATTAATCTTCTCAAAGGAGGGATCAGTGCATTGTGTTATGTTTGGCTATCCCTAGAGGGGGTACATCAGCATTCTGATAATACAATATCACTTTCTATATATAGTTTGTGTTTGATTTAATTAGCTAGTAAATATTTATAAAATTAACAGTCCATTATTTTAACTAAACCACTCTAGCAGTTAAGACATGTCTAGGGCTACCACATTTTCTAGTATTTCTAATTAATAGTGATTAAAGGAAAAGAACAGATCTGTTGTATATCGTGTTATTACCATGGAAACCAATTCATCATAAATTCAAAAAATTACTCTTGCATTGGTCTATTTATGTCATTAAATGAAAGATTTAGTTTATTGGACCACCAGCTCATCAGGTGTAATTTATTTTCATAACAAAGTTGCTTTCCAATTTTCTATTAAAATACCCTTGTATTATTAGTGACCTAAATTGACTATCTTCTTTTCAACATAAACAAATGAGTTGCAGTGTATGGATTAATAATATTTTGTAGATCCAAATTGTGATCTATCAGCTGTCTGCTGAATGAAGCTTTTTGTTGTAATTAATTGTATGAAGCAGTGAACTATTTACGTAAACAATCATTGCTGACGAACTGCTTTTTTTTCCGGAATAATCAGGGCAGTTGAATCCTTTGTATAAAGTTATTAACCTCTTCAATGAGCAGACACCTAAGTAGGCTATTGCATTTGTGTTTATAGTATACTGCACCCTGCGCAGATATGCTCTATGCTGTGGAAATGAAATTTTTATGTAAATTGGAATGCGTTAAGGTTCACTTCAGTTCATTTCATGTGACAGGAACACCAAGCACAGTGTGTTGACAGATGACCAATGTAGCACCCTGTCTGATAAGAGTTTATAATTTAATCCTATCAGAAGCATATGTTTTTTAATGACATTATTAGTGGCGGGAAAATTTGTGTTCATTGTCTGAGGAAAGCCTTTTTATACCTTATTTTTGCGAACTTGATGCTCATTGATATTAATTTTTTGAAGGTTTTTTTTAATACAAACTTTATTTTCGAGCTGTAGCCTACCCGTTGCTTTAAAAAAAAATCTGGAAATTTCAGGAAAAATTTTAAAAATATATATATATACATACACATCTTTAATATAAATTAAAGATGTGTTTGCTAAATTATAAGAATCACATAAATTATCAACTTTCAACAAGTGACAGAACAAGAAGAAACTTTTTCAAATAACCTACTGGTAGTTTACCACAAAAAAAGGAACAGAAATTGAAGTTTATATATATGCTGCTGTGGGTCCCTAGGGCCAACTAGAATTTATAATTTGAAATTGGACAAAAAAGGAAAATTTAATCTTTTTATTGTAAAAACTTAAATAGTTTTCGCATTTCAATATTTCAAGTAAAAACTAAAAACTTATTGAATTATGTAAAAAGTAAGAAATTCAAATTAATTTCCATGAAGAGAAAAACTTACTGTAGCTGAAAGTAGGCATACAGTAATGCATTAATGCCTGAATGTATTTCTAAAAATGTTTTAGCTAAAACTAATAAAGAACCATCAATTTGGACATAACAATTCGTTGCTAAAAGGACACTTTACCATGAAAGAGCTTTGAAATGAGATGTTCGAAGCTCTCTTGTAGACCAAACCAAGTTTACAACTTTAATGGTATATAAAGAATTTACCCATGGGCTAGGCCCTGTCTCTTATACACATCTAGATGTGTATAAGAGACAGTATATATACACTGTAAACAAGAAAAAAAAAGCAAAACTTAACTACAAAGTTGTAAAATAAAATTAAAAGGAAAGATCATTACAAAAAGAAAAGTGGTGCAGGGAAAAAAAATTAAATTGTTGATATCATTTTATTTTCAGTTGAAATACATGCAGGTTTTGACAATCATCCACCTTTATTACTGCCCTCTGGAGGGTTTGTGCTTCAGTTGAGGAAACAAGTCACAAATGCAGCATTCTACAGAGAACTCCAAGCTTTGAGCAGTGCACTACCTTGCATTACCATAGAAACAGGTAGGCCTGCTCATACAAGATTTACTGGTTGACTATTAGGGAACGGCCTTTAGATTTTCTTGTCAACTATGTGGATTACGACATCATGACAACATTTTGGAGCTTGGTGCATGTGTCACGTCTTATCTCTCGTCCACTGACTGAATCGAGAACGCTATGTTTTGATTAGCAGTAATCAAGCTTATTTGGCACAGTAACACAGATTTTTGTGGCAGAATTGAATTTCCCACTTTTTTGAGTTGTGTCCCAGTTTTTTTTTGTTTTTGCTTTTGTTCAAAATGTTTGAATGATAAGGAAAGTAATGTTAAACAATATAAAATCCACATCACACACTGATTCTCTGCTGTGAAATTATCCAAGTTAATGTACAGTATGCAACTGAGGCATACCAAATACAAGACAAGTTAACCTTAGGGGCCCATTCCTGATTATCAGTATCTGTCTTCAGTATGATTTAACATTAAGCCAGGTGATGTTTTACTTATATAGAGGAACATTTAATGTAATTCATGTACTTTACATGATGATAAAATGAATTTGCTCGATGGTTATTTTACACAGGAAATCCTGAACTACAAAGCCCACCCTCAGTATCCAAAGAAGAGGAAGAAATAAACAAGACATTAAGTCGCAAACAATCTTCACAACTCAAACGACAAGATAAATTAGATGCACAGCAAACAAATAATGGCACAGACGAGACAGGTGGTGACCAATCAGAGACCGGTGGTGTAGACGCCGACGGTAACTCGCAGCCTACAGAGAATAACCCCCATCAGAGTTTTGACAAACAAGCAAAAGATTCGCAATCAACAAAACATTTTATTAAGAGACAGGATATGCGTAATGGGAACGTGCAGACTAACGGTAGCTTAACTTCGCATATACGTAGAATGGAAGAATCCCACAAGAAGACTGCTGCTCAAAAGGTACGAAGCGAAGCAACAGAGACTAAAAGATCACCGAGCTACCGCAGTGCAATGGCGCAGAGAGACAGCGGAGATGGTGAGTCTAGTACAGCAAGTGATTCGTCAAACCTTGATCCGTTGCTTCATACGCCTATGGTTGCTGTAACGCCACCAAATTGGGATAAATCCATACCGTTATTGGAGGGCAAACCAGGTGTAATTCCTCCTCCTCCTGGTTGGACGTCAAACAAGGAGGAGAAAAGGAACAGCATCAGTGACGTGACCAATAACAATACGGTGATGGAAGGGTCAATAGAAGGGTCACTCGAAAATATCAGCATGGATAGTACCTCCTTATCTGGTAACTTACATAATTTATTAATTTTATGTCAAATATTCTAATAAGTTATGGTAATATAAATTACAAACATGTTTACCCATGGAGATTACTATTGCAGCCGTCCTTGGTTATTGCTGTAAAGGTTATCATAATTCCCAGCAAACTACCAAATTAATAGGAAATTGAACTTGAAAATTTTGCCTTAAGTGTTTGCTAATGCTCCAAAAGATAATGGCCGCAAACATTTAGATTTTCAACAAATGTTAGACCTAAGCCCCAGCACACCTATGGCCTGTTTGGATATACACGAGAGTCTTTAACCCGCGAACTATGCTACACTTTTAAGGCTAGCTAAGTTTTAAGAAGGATCACTTAAATTTCAAAGTGTACAATGCTAGGAGAATGCTAGGATAAGTAAATATACACTTTTCTGAACAATCGCATTGACTTTCCTTGCCATATATTATGTCTCACGTTAACAGTGAAGGGGCTGTTTTCACAATGGTCGCACTGTAATGTTTTCTATGGTATATCCCAGTTATGTCGCGTGATTAGCTGTAAACAAGTATCACAGAATTGGTCTGTTGTGTATGAGTACCCATAATTATATAAAAAATATTGAATATTTATTAATATAAATGTTTAATCTCATATATAATGGAAACCCTCTCTGATTGACAAAAGAGTGATTACAAGTTGGACCCATCTTCTTCTATACTTTCATCTATTTTAAAGATTATCTTTTATTTTCATTTCATTTGGCATTCAACAATAAAAATTCAGTTATAAAAAAAAATATATAACTACTGTATATAAAAATACAGTTAAGAAAAATGTCATTATTAAAAGTATTTAAAACTACAATTCAGCAATGCAAGAATAGTCATTATAGGAAAAATACATAATTTAAAAAACGTTATCTGTAAAATATTTATCTATTAAAATTTATTGAGTTATCTTGAACATTATATACCACAGGTGTATAAATAGATATTAAAGCAGATATAAATGCCAGGATAACCCGCAAAAGTACAGAAGAACTTGTTTCCAACAGGGTCCTAAAAATATCACATAGAGACAAGAAGGGAAACTGAGAAGTTGTATATACCGTAATGCACAAGATGAAACAAAGAAAAAAAAAATTGACTATTCTCGCAAAGATTCATTATTTTTGATTTATTGTAGATTCTGAGGTGAAAGGCTTGCAGCCGTCAGTGGGTTCGGCAAACAATGCTGAGAGTGGATGTGATCCCGATGATGTATTTTTAGTGGATCTTGAGAAGATCAGTGGAGGAGTTGGCCTGGGGTTAATTGATGGCATGGTAAGTTGCTCCTCAGTTTATGTATATCAATACTATACATCCTGCATATTGTTATTTTTATCATTTTTGTTATCATTTATTATTTTTAATGTTGTTGGTGTCATTGTAATTAAGCTCATTCCTTAAAATGTACCTTTACGCTAAACCCTGCCGGCTGGATACTGTAAAAACTCAAATTGAAGCCCTGGGCTTCTTTTTTTGTGAACTTTTGATGGGCTTCTTTCCAAGGCTACTTTTGTAAAGTAGATGAGGACACAATATAAATGCTGTAATTTTTGGGAATTACTACCATAAAACAATAAATAGGTTCACTGTATCATTTTTATCCTATTTGTGTTAATACAATGATAATTTCTAAATTTAGTTAATTTTGTTCAATTTTTCAGTTCACCCCACTACGAGCCCCAGGGATCTATGTAAGAACTTTATTGCCAAGTGGCCCAGCAGCTCTAGATGGCCGTCTGAGGATGGGTGACCGTATACTTGCTGTGAATGGAGCTAGTTTGGTTGGAGCTGACTATCAAAGGTTTAAAAACTCATTTGTTCATTTCATTTTCTTTTTTCACAATTTGTAAATGATTAACCATGTTTAATTGTAGTAATCGATATACCCTTATACAATCTGAGACAACTTTTTAAATAGTACCGTACTGTATTTCATTTTTCGTAATTTCGTGTGGTTTAGCTGTTTAATTTAGTTTAGCTTTAGTTTTCAGTTATAGTTCTGTCTTTCCAATAAAGTTTCCATAAGTCTCATGTAATTTTTTAGTTTCTATCATTAAATTATCCAGTTGGTTGAGATCACTGTTAAAAAAATTTTCAAAATGCTGAACCTGATTTTTTCTGGGTGCTTCAACAAATTAATATACCACTAAAATGGCTTAAAATTTAAAATCATGTAAAAGAAATCAGGACTACAACCATAATAAAAGGAGCTAGAGTATTTAAGCATTATGTAATAAATATTATTAATATTATTATTATTGTAATATTAAGCTTGGTTTTGCATACTAGTCATCTCCGACAGCTCAAGGTTAAGCCCGGCATCCAAACTAGCTGGATTAGCCTGGCGGGAGAATTTGCATATTAATAAACCGTAACCAGGAAACAATTACAGTAGTTTAGAAACATTGTGCACGACAGTAGTCTCGTTCACAGCACACGCGATTAAAGCCCGGCTTAGAAAAGTGGCACACTAGGTCTAGTTAGAGAAACACAGCCCGGCTTTAGATTTAGAACTAAGTCACCTAGTTTAGACTGGCAGGTGGATAAACCTGATGAGTTAAGCTGGGTATATCCACCTAGTCTGAACATAGCCTATATATTAAAAGTTTCTTGAAACATGTCTAAAAGTATTACAGTACTATTTTTACCAATTTTATCTACAGTATATATTTACATCTTAATTTTTACAGTGCAATGCAGTTAATTCGGAGTTCAGGGGTCAAGCTAAGGTTCCTCATTGCCCGTTCTGACACTTCCGTTGCTATGAAAATTTCAAATTCGAGCTGTTAGACCTGCAGAGCCAAAGAATGAATGAAACAATTTTGTGTCAAAGGTTAACCAAATTAACCATGAATGTTTACTCAAGTGTTTCAGATAAGTATTATTAGAATCTCAAAATGTCTCTGTCTCTTTTCGGAGTTACTGTCAATTAGTGGATCCTCTGATTATTAGGAGAAACATTATTAATCGGATATGATGCATAGAACATGTGTAACTATAGAACATTTTTGTATTTGACAACACTAGCTTTTGAAACTACTGTAACAGGAGTATAAAGTGGACGCTCAAATTTTGAATAGGATTTTAATTAACAGGTGCTATATATTGGTACACTTCTTTGACTTGGTTATAACTGGTATGCAACCAGCTACAGTACCATAAGATGGTAAGCTATTGGATGGTATTGCTACCAGATGGTAAACTACCAGATCATAAGTTACCAGTGGCGACTAGTTGTAAACATACAGTAGAAGGTAAGCTTCCATACGATAATAAGCTACCAGTAAATGGTAAGCTAACAGCTGTATTAAGTTACCTGGATACCACTAAAATGGTATAAGCTACTAGTGAACGATATGTTACAGTACCAACAAAATAGTCTACCAAATGATGGTAAACTACCATATTTGGCAAGTTAGTAGTAGTATTAAGTTACCAGATAGTGGTATGAAATTTATACAGAGAGAGAGAGAATGCTATATATCAAATAAGTTTTTAAAATATCTGAATTTTATAACTGGTAACGTTAATTGCATAAATAAGTTGCCATTTTAAAGAACTTAAAATTTCTAACAAAATTCCAATTTAATGACAGGGAATTGCAGACATACCAACATTCCAGTCACGGTAGAAAAAATTAACATTAAAAATTAAATTTTTCATTGAATTTTAAAATGCCTGTCTTTTAAATGGGTCGCTTTGTTTTATTCTTCATTGTACACCTCCATGACCTTAAAGCATAGACACCACTAACACGATATTTGGTACCACAGGGTGTTGCTGAGGCTGCTAAGGACGACTATACTCGTCAAAAACCCGGGTAACATTCTAGCGTTTATTACTTTGTATACATCGTATACAAACTTAGTGGCTGGTACTGTAGTTCAGGAAAGACACGTACGTATGTATGTTTGTCGTGTTATGTTGCCGGCAGTACACTCGATTGCACGAGTCTAGGGAGGGGGGGGTGTCATTTGAACAATGTGTTAATGAAATTACCTCGCATACATCTCAGTTTTTGAAGGTAAATTAAAATTGCAATAGAAATAACTTCAAATATGTGTGCTAATCCTGAATTAGATTTACATTATAATATGAAATACTACGAAAGTAAAAAAGAGAAAATGTAATTTCTGGTGGTTAAGTTCAGGCTCCATTTTTTGGAGCAGAAATGCATAGTTTAAGATTTTAACCATTTTAAATTTAAAACACATTAACACAAAAAAAAAACAGATAGAGATTTCTTTGTATTGTGTGCCCAAAAAATACAAATAATTAAATGATAAATATATTAATCAGCCAATCTTTTATAAGAGAATAATCACAATCATAATTATTATCATCCTCCTCAGCCTCAAAATTGTTATGATCATTATACCTGCTCATGACTTCATTATAGTCAAGGCTGGAGATGTATGCGACCTGTGGTCGGAGGCAACATGAATGTCCGGAGGCATTTTTAGGGGGAAAAATTCAAAAAAATAACTGTTGGGCTATAATATAGTGTACAGATATCATTTAGGTCTGGAGGCATTTTATCAAGATAATTTACATGGTCGGAGGCACAAATATTTTTTTTGAGGCCTGATTATGATCATTTGCTGTCATCATCATCATTACCAACATGGAAATCATCATCCTAGAAATTGTCGTGCTCATTAGCATTATCATCACCATTGTTGTAGTCTGAAGTACTACTGTACTGTAAATGACAACACAACAAACGAAGTGCTTTCTTTTCTATTTAATCTCAAAGTGTATAGCATTGTTGATTTTTGTAAATTTTATAATTTATATTTTACAAAAGGTACTGGTAATGGATGAAAGAGTGTTCATCGTTTTACCTTCTATGATTTTTATAGTTTTAAATTGTTTTAAAATATTTTTGCTAAAGTATTATACTGTATTGTCTTTCATTTTATATGTTGTGCATTAAAATCTCAGCCAAGCTAGCACATCAATTTGTTTCAAAATTATTCGTTATCAAAATACAATGTATACACATACGTTCATTGTACTGTATTGAATTATTTCCGAAGATTTGTACTGGGGATAGTGGTATACATTGCTGAATGTAAGGGAATGAGCTGTTAGCCTATCGTATGTACTATAGCCTCCCCATTGTGTGGTAGGGTGCCAGTCCATTTCCATGTCCCTTTAACCTCCCCAGTATATGTCAACCAGGTACCTATTTGTACAATAGGGTAAAGTGCTTTTGCCCACAGACACCAGGGAAATGCACAGCAAAGGTTCGAACCTCAAAGCTCAGACACCGAAAAGCAACCACTACTACACTAGCCTGACACTAGGCAAATGTATTTCCTTCTCACCACCAAATGGTACCTGTCATTTCAACAGTAGTATAACTGGTTGCGTAAACAGCATCATCTCACAAACTTTCACCTACTAATGTCTGCCTTGTACGCATTTGTACCCGATTCAAGTTGGTAGGAAGAACGTTCAATAGACTAACAGCTCAAACATTTAGAGGTATAACCGGCCAATGGGAAGGCTGCTTTTTGTCACATGCTCGATCAAACTGTAGTTGAAGTGCTGTTTCCATCCCATGAATCATAGCAGCATGTTCACCATAAAGTTCCTATAAATTAAAAATATTAATGAAGGGTTCAATTAATATTTGAATCGGTGAATAAATAATAAGGTGTTATTCCCTGAGCAATATTGCAAGCATTAGAATTGTTGCATATACTCAGAAACTTGAGAATAAAAAGCAAAAGTAATACACTAAGCCACATACTTAAAATAAAATATAATTGGTTTATTAAAAACAATATTAATAATCAAGAGTAAATATTTTCGACTTTTTGTCATTTGAAAACTTCATAAACCACCAACCTGCATTTCCTTCAACCGTCGCTGCCCTGGACGTTCTGTTGGTGGCGCTGTACTTCTCTTTAATTTTCTTCCTGAATGAGCTGCAAAAAGTGAGAACACCATACAATATTCACATGAATATTCATACATGCTTTATCATCCATGCATTCATAATCTTCATTATTTTTATTACTTGAATTTAATCGTTCATTGTTTCGCAAACATACTTTTTTATAGATCGCCAGAGGAGGGTGGAAAAGAAATGAAAATAAAATTCTGTCATCTTATTTAGCAAATAGTTTTGGAGGAGAAAATAAAAATAAAGTTTTATTGTTAAATGTAAACAGTGTAGTAATGGGATGGATAAATGCTTTAAATTTATACAATTAGTAATAAGTAATATATATATCATATTTTTTAAAATTTCAAGGCAGCAGTAGGCTTAATAAAAATAAAGGAACATTTTTTTTTGGCAGCGAGTGCTATAAATAAAATAAGTCTTGCCTTATTAATAATATTAGCTAGTCTAAATTGTGGCAGTTCATTGTAATACTGTACTTTACTACAGTGGTTGTGAATAATGTTTTTCTTATTACCAGAATTATCTTCTAAATCCTTAGTCTCCTGAGATTTTCCTGTAAAAAAACAATCAAAATATTCATATTGTATTATGATTTAATAACATTTTAAAAATTTGACCCCTAAAAAAAAATTTTGGAAAATACGATAATGTTATTTATGTGTTATCAGTATAATAAAATATAATTGTAATATAAAATGTACTAAAATAATTTTTTTTAAGGATAGTAAATCAAAAAAGGTAATGTATAAATCTCACGTCTTTCTTCTTTAAATTTTGCTGAAACAGCAAAGAAATTACGTAATTCATCGCTGATCTCCATCTCAAAACTATCATCAGATTGGCTCTCATCAATGTCAGAGTTCATAGTATTGGGATCATCAATCACATGACCTTCAGACTGCTGCGAATGTGAATGCATTGGATGTGATGGGTTTCTATAGCAACCATTAATCTCTGTCTCTTATACACATCTAGATGTGTATAAGAGACAGGTTATGATCTATGGTCTGACAGAAGATGGTGGAAAGGGTAAATCATGTGTCATCTTAAGTATTATTGTACAAAAGTCATTAAAAAAAAAATACAACACCACACGCTTCCTGATAACCGAATCCCATGTGAATGCTTTATAAGTAAACATTATAAACAGTAAGGAGGCATAGGGCATAGGCACACGCTCCTGCTGGGAGCCTAATTTTAAAAATATTCTGATCAAATATGTAAATTTTTTAAAGTTACTTACAGTTTAGCTTTCCCTGAATTGCTATTGCCAGCTGGTGTATAACAATATTGTCTAGCTGATGGAGCCTTATCATAATTTTTCATTATCGTCATTATCAAAATAAAGATCCCAGAATCAACAAAATTTGCAATTTGGAATGTTATTCTGTGTTCCAATAAACATGAGATACACAAATTATGAAAAAATGTAAAATATATTTAAAAAAATGACGACTATAGTCCTACATGAATTTGCCAGATATGATGAAAATGTAAAAATAATTTCCGTAAGGGTGCTTAAAATATTTTTGGCACTTATTGAGGGGCGCTTATTCAAACGGGCCGCTTATTCGAACGGGGCGCTAATGAAAACAGTGGAAATTGATGAGGCGTTTATGCAAATAGATGAAAATTCAAGAGGCGCTTTTTTAATGAATGACCAATTCAATTTCTGGCCATCTAGAGGTGCCATAGTCACAAATGTTCTTACCTCAGCCCCAACCATGGTGGGGCTGAGGTGGTCGATCCTCCATCTGTGAAAGTACTTCCACTGCCCCCACCCCCATCCCTCTAATTTGAATTTCTGGATCCACCACTGCATTACACACATAGAGGCCAGATCTGGGCATTTTCAGCAATAATTTCAGGTTTGCTTTAACCTAGGCAACAGAGTTATGACTCAAATTATGTAACATATTAATATATTACTAATTAATGTAGATATGGTTTGTACTTTGCACCTTGCACCAAGGCGAGGCCTATCACGAATCACATGCATCGCATTTGTCACTTGCAATCGTCTCGTTCAACTGTCGTTTGTTATCAAGGAATATAGCCTACTAGGAATCGAACTCAACTTAATGGCAGGCCTTCCAGATCGGACAACTTCTCTGTAAAATAGATTTAGTAAATATTTTTATATTCTATTTATATTCTGTCTTTTTCGCGGCATCATGGCTGGTCTCCGACAATTTAGACTTCTTTTTTGGAAGAACTGGATATTACAAAAAAGGAAACCTGTTGTGACGTTATTTGAAATCGGATTGCCTGTTGTATTCTCAGCCGTTCTACTTATCCTAAGGGGTTATGTAGAACCGAAAAACTATACAGAGCCTGCTATTTATGGCGACTTTAGTGTTGGAAATCTACCATGGAATCTTACTCCTCCTGTACACAGAATCTTGCCGCCATATTACTGGGATGTTTTCTATTCTCCAAACATATCTGTCGTTGATGATGTCATGGCGAATTTTAAAAACAACCTCGATAGAAGGGCAATTAGAGTAGATTCAAGTAAGTCAAATTTTTGGAAATTAAGAACAATTTAATTATCATAATCGTCATTATCATTGTCATAAGGGCAGACATTAACACAATCGTACGATAAATCACATTCCAAATTTCTTGTAAATTAATGAAACATGATAAAAACGCACATCCGATCAGGGAACTGTGAAATGTAATTTCACTATCTCCCGGCACACATGAAACTCACAGGGTTATTATAAGTTATAAGAATTAGGCCTTCAAGTGTATACCGTAAATGCTCGAATAAGCGCCGTGATGCTCATGTTTGTAGTCTTCAGTGGTGCGCTTATTCGAGAGCGGCGCTTATTAAAAAAAATATTGGCATGAGTGTTTTCCCATACTAATTCCGTAGTTCGGTAGGTCTATCACAATAAACAATTATATATTAAAAAATATTTATTCATTTTAACACCGTATACATTGTATTTTAAAACCCTGTTTCTCTGTATTTCATTACACACAGTGTAATATCCTTTCGATTAAGCGCCGCGGCGCTTATTCGAGAGCGAAGTTTAGTGTGGCGCTTATTCGAGCATTTACGGTACGATACAATTGTCAGTTTCTTTCACTGTAACGTGCGTATCATAGTCACTGTACTAACATTATGTTTAATTATCACTTGACATTGTACGGGAGATCACAGATCAAGTCTATGCCTCACATGGTGAGCAGCTATACTGATTGCTTATTCTTATACACTTTGCAGCAACTGGATTTAATAACGAAGAGGATTTGCTGGAAGCTGTTAGAAATGAAAACACGTCGTACTCCAGTGTTCTCGGCGCCGTGGTATTTAATAACGACTTTCCAGATCCATATAGTTTGCCTCTCAATGTTAACTACAGCATTCGTTTGAGTCCGAATCCACGCAATGTGCTCATTGACTCATTTTCTGAGAGTCAGCGATGGTACACGGCGTTCCTGTATCCTCTATATCAATCACCAGGCCCCAGAGAAAAAAACGAAACATACGGCGGTAGTCCAGGTTAGTAGGCCCATGTCTAAAATGTTGTCCACACCAAATTTTCCTTGACAAAAACTGTTCTATGTCAATATATAATCATGATGTGCCTATATATGGTCATGAAATTGATGTGATGTCATCATGACTATACTTAGGCATGTCACATGTTTGTCAAACAATATTTACCGTAATAGTTTGGTGAGGGTAAAACAAATAACATATAACTGATGAGGAACAATAAAATGAATACACAGTAAAAATAAATAATAATTTTTAGTGTTTCACAATAATATTCTTCTTTTTATGCCTGTATTTAATCCTTTAATTTTTATGTAGTTTTAAGTAAGTATTTATTTAAAATTGTAATCTCTCGCAATTCAGCATTTTCTTGATCTGTAAATTCATTCTTTACTGATGCATGCTTTTAATTCTGTAGATTTAGGTAGTTTTAATTAAGTAATGTTTCTATATGTTATATAAATTGTAATCTGAATTCACCAATTTTGCTGCTATTAGAGAAGTTTAATAAAATGAATTTTTAATTTTAATTTTCGAATAAATGCGCCGGGGCGTTTATTGCTGAGGAGGGTTTTTGCGGGGACATCTATTTGAGGGAGGTGTTTACTAGTACTACAACAACAATGAGGTCCAATGGTGGGTGGTAGGGGTGGGGGTGTTATTCGAAGGTGCGTTTATTCAAAGCGGGACGTTTATTCGAATACAGTAATAATCAATATGATAGTGGGCTTCAGAATTTATTTTTTTATTTGTAATAATTTGTAAAATCAATACTTTTTTTTTCAGGTTACCAATCTGAAGGATTTTTGCCTATTCAGCACGCTATCGACAAAGCTTTAATTCAATACCTTGGGTACTCACTTGAAAATATCACAACCAGGATGCAGAGATACCCCTATCAGTCTTATTTTGATGACCCGTTTGTAATCTTTATTCAAACTAATGTGCCCGATCTCATCATGATCAGCTTGGTATTTGTCGCCCTCAACATCGCAAAAAATGTCGCATACGAAAAAGAGAAGAGGCTTAAAGTAAGATTTTTGTTTGTAATACTGTAATCTACGAAAACCCATTAGTGCCACTAAAGTATATGTTCAGTAATCCGTAATTACGAATTACTAATATGGATTACTGAACATATACTTTAGTGGCACTAATGGGCTTTCGTATTAATCAGAATATTTTGGTTTAAGCTAAAACACAAATACAGCACCCGGTTTTCAAACACATCATTTAAAAAATAAAAAAAACTTGTACCGAATAATCTCAGTTTTGAAATAAGTAAAGGCCCAGTTGTTAACCCAAAACCGCTTTCCAAAGACGGACCGCGAGGCTCAAAATTGACCACGATATGATGAGACTTCGTTTAGAAAAACCGATAAAAGCAACCGTGAACCTCACATGCGCAATATAAGCTTTCCAATAAGATATTTAGTAAATAATTCATGATATAATATATCTAAACACTTATTTCTATATTATATCATTATATTATATATATATATATATTATATATTATATATATAATTGTATATATTATTATATCATTATAATATATATATTTATTATTATCATTATAATATATATAATTATATTATATCATTATAATATATATAATTATTATTATTATTTTTATCTTCTGCGAGATCCAACATGTCATTATTTCTAAGTTTTATTTGTGATTATATATTACAGGAGTCGATGAAGATGATGGGGTTAAGTAACTGGGTACACTGGCTGGCGTGGTTCATAAAGTACCTTATTTACCTGACTATCACAATATCAATCATGACACTGTTTTTTACGGTAACCGTGAAGAAAGTAAATGCAGGCGTCTTGAATAACACGGATCCGTCGGTGTTTTTTGTGTTTCTTCTTCTATACGCAATTGCCACTATCAACTTGTGTTTTCTCATTAGCGTATGTTTTTCAAAAGGTTAGTCGACCTGTTATCCAGTGCAAACTGCGTCGTATTTCAGTTGTAGGCCTACGACCGTCGGCCAACGAATCCAACTCCGCTGCCTGTGAACGATAAACGACGCGAAGTTGTCTGCCCATCGGTGGCAATAAAAATGGATCGTCTTAAAAAACGATCCCTTGCGCGCGTGTTGTGACGTTCTGTTCTTCATAGAATCGCGTCGCGACAACCGTCGGTGCAGTGACTTCGCATGGCGCCGTGCATTACCCATGCGATGACGCGCATGCTCCGTTCGTTGCCTATGATGTTTGCTAGTTTAACGCGCACGATGCAATACAACGTTGTAGAAGTTATACTGATCAATTGTTATTCTACTGCCTTAATTTTTCACCCCCAGCAAACAGTGCAGCAGTAGCAGCTGGTTTACTTTGGTTCCTTACATACCTACCTTTTTGGTTTGTTGTGATTCGATACCGCACACTGACAGCAGGTACTAAGGTGGGACTGTGCTTTCTTTCAAATACATGCATGGCAATGGGCGCTTTAGTCATTGGCCTTTACGAAGGAACCGGTAAGTATAAAGTAATATAAAGCCCTGTCCAGACTATCAAATTTTATTTGACAAAAACATACGACATGCCTAAACAAGGTAATGATGACATCATATCATAACCATATATAGGTACATCATTACTATATATGGACATACAACATTTTTTTGTCAAAAAAATTTGATAATTTGAACAGAGCTAAATATGTATTTAAGCAATCACACAATCTGTCCGTATCATACAATCGCTACAGGTCGCTAAAGCGTTCACTGCAATCATTGCACTGCGTAGCTGTCCCTGACGCAATCGGGGACGCTCCCTGATTAAACTGACCAATCAGCGTCACGAAAGGAGTCGGCGATAGCACGTAGCGATTTTTATGGAAACCAAACTTTACTGTACTTAGAGCTGAGATCATAAAAATGATTCCAAGCATACCGGTAAAATTGGTGACGAACGTTTTGTGGCTATAATATTTTTAAATAATGACCATAATCAAATGTATACGTATGGAAATCATTATTCTTGGCATATTTTGCGTATATAGATTGATGTGAATAGACATTAAACATTTTTGGAAGACAATTATTGTCGGCATGCTATTAGCGTGAAGATTTGTACAATTTGTAAGCCTAAATGTTGTTTTACTTCTTTTGAAGTACCTACTCTATTGTAATATTGTAGTTTTTTGGTTGGTCGGAGGTGACTTTCAATGAGATATGTATAAACACAGTTCTTTTGTACCAATATACCGCAAACTTTTATTCAGCATCAACTATTCTGCTGTACATATATACAATCGACTACTAACTCCAGGTTACTCAGATGTTAGAGTTGAACCCATTCAGTGGCGTCAGTTCTTAATCTCTTCTCTCTGGTGTCTGATCACTACTCTATCTGATTCAGTGAGGTGGGGTGTTTGCCTATTATACTCAAGGTAATGGGTGTTTCTCGATTAGGTCACCCCATAATTTTAGAGTTTCTGATTGGATCGTAGAGAAATTCTTTCTCTATGATTTAATAACCTGTTTACCAAAAAGTTGTTAATTCAGATATATTACAAACTTCAAGACGTAGGCTTAAAAATATCAATCATAGATTCATAGCGTGAAAAAGGTCAAGTCCAATTGACTAGGGTAAAGTTATAAATGACCAATTGTACGATAGATTATTTGTATACTCAGGTTGACTATTCAAGCTGTCAAATCAATTTAAGACATTTAACAGGTGAAGGGGTATCGATGATATTCAAATTCCAATGGTTATATAAGTTAATATTATTGAACCTTAATACTACATTACACTATCAGCTATCTCACATATTCCTATCAGATGAGTGACGTCAGTGTGCCATTGCTACATATCTTTATGTACTCTAACCTATCTGTAAACAGTATATTGTGACTGATAAAGATCTAATTGACTAAACTTGCATTTAAAAAAACCAAAACACGTGTAAGTACAGTAGAAAGGAAATGCGGTTCCTTATTCGAATAGTCCCATAATGGAGCGATTCCGTTATGGGAGTACATGGTGACAAACAGAGGTGGTCACTACGGCATCAAAGCACTAGACTCTATCCACACTACCAATGTAGGCCTATCTGACAAGAATGAGACATGCCCCCACATTTTGGCGATATATAGGCC